ATGTAAACCATAGCTACAGCAACGTATGTCACGTACCGGGGCTTTTGACGTCGGAGAAACAAAATGTAATAATAATACAATAAAAGTAAATTGTGTATTCATGTCCAAGTTACTGACGTAAGCATAACGGGGAATGCTATAATATCGATAAAAATATGCGTGCGTTGCGCTTCTTAGAAGAGCCAGAAGGTTAAGAGCCAGCTGGCTAATCGCAGGTAAACACACTTAGAAAGTTAAAGCAATTTGTAATTTGTAAGTTGAGTTCGAATTAGCAGTATGATTCTCAGTTTTTGCATTATGTCTTCGTCATTATCCGATAGCTGATAACTATGGCAAGATTTTATAGTGTTTTATAATATATGTATACCTTCTACTGTTACGTACACCCCCTCCCTCGTCCACCATAGCTAAACAAACTAAGCAAATAAAATAATAATTATGAAAAAACTGCACTGTATGAGTGTTGGTCAATAAATTCGATTTTAATACACGAATAAAAAGGATTTTATAACAAAATGCTTGAAAAATACTTAATGTGAGATATAAGGCGTGTGTGTTTCTTGTTTTTTTCACGTCCTATCTATGTTGAGTACAGGGTACGCAGACCCCAGTTTGGACAACACTCTATCTATTTATGCTCTATTTGACAAATGATATTGTAAACCTTAGGACTTTTACCGCCCGAACCCAGGCACGTCTTGAAAACAAACGCTCTCAAGAAATCAGATCACAAGCGCCTGTCCACTGCCTCGACTCGACGCATTTCTAAATCCGGCTTGCGTAAATGCGAACCGTGCGTTGTGTACAAAGTGCGTGGGTTCCCGGGCAGGCTGTGAGTGCTGTGTGTCTCGTGCTGGCCTGCCTCGTCACCGGGGGGGAATTAATGAGGTGTTGCGTGGAGAGGGACACGGGTGAGGCCCACGGAGTTATTAAGGCCCCGATGATAAGATCTGATCATAATGGATGGTAAGGCCACGGGGTTTATAAGTAATACAGGTGTAACGGGGAAGTCCCTTATTTTATTTTTCAATTGCATGCACTGCGGTCTCGAATCTTGGAACTTTCGGCGGAGGTTTGCCAGATTTTTTCCCTGGTGGGCTTAACTTACTGCTGGTGAACAGTTCCGAAGGTTTATGCATGCGTTGCGAAGGCGGGCCGTCAGAGAGTGCGTATTGCCGCGGATGCTGTGTAAGCGGATGTTGGGCACAAGAGGAGTCTGTTGGCGATGCTCGAAGCCGCCGCCCGGATCTGCGTGCGCGTGCGATCGGCCGGAAAGTGGCGCGGCCACATGGTTAATGTCGGGATTGTGATGTTTATACGTTCTGTAAAGGATTATTTGTTGTTTATGTCAACTGCGCTTGTTTGAGACTAAACTGATTTTTTGTTTGAGCTCCATCTGCAAAACGCGCGCGCGCGCGCATAGATTTATGATATAGATAAAAGACATGTATATATTGCATGCGAGTATAAACTATATCCAACAAATTGTTGGTATACGGGTATACTGATTATTTTTTAGATTGTTGGTTATATACTGATTATTTTTAGATAACCTCTGGGTCATGTCATGGAGATATGAACATGAATAGATTTGTGGTAACAGATATTACGAATGAATTCTCCTTTAAGGAGGTTTTCATTTATAACTTCCGTTAACCATCTTAATGCACTGTTTCCATTTTTTGTGCACTGTACATTGTATGACTTTCGTATGTCCTTTCACGCTGCAAGGATGACCCGAAAACTGTCTGTGTTACATGAGGAAGCAGAAGACATCTCGTGCACTTCCTCCCTGTCTTCCCGCTCCCCCATCCCTCCGGGGCACCTGTCGCCCGGCCCGATGTCCCCCACGTCCCTCTCCCCCTCCCCCCTGGCCTTCGAGGCGCGGGGCAAGGACGGCGACGAGGCGGCCGAGGATCCCGGCGGAACGGGGGCCCTTGGCGACGACGAGAGGCTTCCTCCGCAGAGGTATCTGGCGCCCAAGAACAAACTTTCGCTCAATTTCCTCTCTTCGAACGAAGCCGAGCACAGCGAGGAGAGCAACAGCGCCAGGTCGGGCTCCCCTTTCGCCATCACGCCGCTGCTGATGTCCCCGCAGTCCATAACATCGCAGATGCTGGCTCTGGCGTCCCCCGTGTCTCCGTTCTCGTCGTCGTCGCCTTTCACGGCTTCCTTGGAGGACATCAACGCCACCACCGACCTCGAATCCAGCTTCTTCCGCGAAGTTCACGGGCCACCCGAGGTGCTGCTGAGGGAGGAAGGCAGCGAGCACCGGGAGCTGTACCTGGGCCAGAGGGTCAGTGCTTCTTCGCTCACTGAGGTCACGGACCTTGCCTTCGAGTCCAGTCCTGACACCGCAGGCCAGGTTATCTTGGCAGAAACAGCCTTAGACCAAAACGGTTTCAGAAGAACAAATGGCATAACACATAGTTATTCTGCTCAAAATAACCGAACGTGGAAACCGACCGACGATGTTTTTACCACACAATTGAAATCACTTACAAGCGAAGACCTTACACAGATGGACGAATGCGCGCAGTGTGAGACCCGACCGCTGCTGAGCATCGGAGAAGAGCATCCCAGAAAAGAGCTGCTGGAACACAAGAGGTGGTCTCACGGCTCACTTGCTCAGCACGTTGCCTCTGGTACCCCGGGCCGGAGCCTCTCTCACTCCCGTCCTCTCCAGCTGGGTGCGGTCACGCCCACCGTCCACAGTCTGGTGGCGCCATCATCCGCGGTAGCTTGCTCCGTCATGGCGTGTTCCGAACCCTCGCAGAGAGACGCTTACGGGGATGTAAACATCGGCGACCCCTTGCATCGACGGGATTCCTTGACGCTGCCCCCGGGTCCTGCGAAGCTGTGGTGGACGCCCCGTTCTCGAGCTGCTTCTCCGCTCTTTTCTTCTGCAGAGTCTTCTCCCCTCGGCTCTCCAGCTTACCGCACTCCACCTGAGGGCTCTCCTTGGTCCACTCCCCGGCCCTCACTTGAGTATACGCCTGCTGGGGATCCTCGCGTCGACATCAGCGGGGAGTGGAGCCTCGACAGTGGTCAGTTGGGTGGAACGCCTTTCCACACGCCGCGACCCTCTCTGACCCCACGCCCATCCCTGGTGCTGGAGCCCAGCGAAGGCCCCCCTTGCATGCTGCTTTTAGGCGGGGACTCGCCGGCACAGGCCGCAGGACTCCCGTGCACCCTCCGCATCCGCCAGGATCCCGACTCCCCCGTGGATGATATTTGGTCGCAGACGTACTTCTTCCCTGCCAGCTTAGATATTACTCAGGAGCCCTTGACCCCTGGTGCTCCTCCCTCACTGCCATCTCTGCCTCCTACACCCTATGGTGGAAACGGAACCCCCGTGGATACCCCTAGTCCTGCGGCATCGCCAGAGTGTCAGAGTGCGCAAGCCGACAAGGAGTCCGGCGAAGAGAGCTCAGTGCCCCAGCCCTCGCTTCAGGAATGAAGAGGAGGTCGTAGCGCTCTTTGCGACAGATGAGGAAATGGATGTGTGGTTGTGTGTTCCGGGTTACACTCAAGGGTGGTGTTACAGTGAGAATCTAGTGCCTCTAGTGTCACATTGAAATAAGTGATTGAACTTTCGATTCTCGAGTATGTACTGGAGCTTGGTGCTTGGCTAGGTGTAGTCTAAGTTAGGATGTTCAGCCGCATGACTTTTCGTCACCAAGAGGAATATTTTGTAATCAGAACATCCACTCCGCACAAGTCTATCGTAAGCCAGCCTTGCCTTCCATGAATACATATACTATATAGTCGATAATTTCTGATCGTGTGGCAACTGCTTAATTCTGTTTCTTGAATTTCAGAGAACATGATCTATACTGTAATCATTTCTCTTGTTCGCTTTTCCGTTTCTTACTTGCACAGGAACAACACATGGTTGATCTTAATGAATCTATGCCTAAACTCCTGTAAGATTTTGCAGTCAGCGATAACTGGGCCAAAATTCTGTATTGTAGGCCATCATTGTGTGCCAATAGGCATCAGTAAAATAAATATGACCTACCTTCTAAAGAAAAAAAGAGCCAGGGGAAAAGAGGACGAAAAAAACGAGCCGTTTGTATTAAGGCACGGGCGGCACTGGCTCCGTCACGCTGCTAAAAAAAAAACTCTACACATTCCAAGTCTGACTTTGTTCTTGAGCTGTGTAGGAGAGTTGGTGTAGATATGTCGTCCGAGGTCATGTATGTGTCTTGTGTCATTTGTAAGTGCTTTTCCAGAGGTCATTATTTCTATATCGACTCCACTGTTTAGATATATTGTCTACAAATCTTTTAAGATACTATTCTTCTTGTAAGCTCGTAGATTTTTATATTTCAAAAAAGAATATGATAAAGAACGCGAGAGACCTCTTATCTAGAGGAATTACATTTATATTACAACCTTATCTTGTATTATGTGAAGGATGTTTAGCAATATATCACGTTCCAGTATAACCAATGTTTTAATTAGCCTATTCCCACATTTACTTAAGTGCTTACCTAGGATCTGAAGGTAAGATATGCACGTCGGGGTAACACGACAGTCTTGAATTTCTTTACTTAATTGTGTATTTGATTTTGTGTTCGTTATTTTCTGATTTGGTTTCTGTTGTCTTGTTCCTGGCACTATTTTATCGACATTTTCCTTTCGAAAATTTCCTCAGCTCAACACAACTTGTTCGATAACATTGAAAACTTCTGTTTAATGTACCTCTTTATGGTTGAACGCAATTTTAGTGTCTTCGGTTATGCACTTAAGATAACTTTATTTGTATATTGATTATTCAGATGTTATAATTTAACCATTATCTGTACTCCATGAAATACCCTAATTACTATGCGGTGCTATTTGCCTGATAGTTAAGCGTAAGGGATGAAGAGACCCGTGATATCTGATTGCCTTTGACGATTGCATAGTATTGTGTTAACGCTCTTTTTGTCCTACCCAGGCCCCCGTCGAAGCGCTCCGGCGATGAGAAGTTGCGACGCACGGGATTGGCCACCATCTCCCCGCAGGTCTGTTGTTTCTGCCACGTTTCGCATCATTTGTTGTACTTGTGTCTCGTTCGCTTCATTGTCCTGTCACACGCACGTACACTCCGGATCAGTGCTATATTCATAATGCATCTATTACCATGGATGGATGCCAGGGGAATTCCTCCCATCATTGTTACATTTTGTACAGGTAGACGTGTTAGTTTGTTTTGGTACATTGTGTTTGTGTGGAGGTTTTACTTACTGGAATATTTCTTTTTATATACCTTCACTTCTCCATTTGTTATTAGATATATCTTTTTAAGCAGTTAACATGCACAGTGTAAGCATATATAGACTTGCTTACTGTGGCAAGTAGACAAGTAGGTATTGCCTATTGATGAAGAGAGGGATCTGGGGTGATGCTTGTGATTCTTTCGTGTGAACAAGTTTCGCATCTTTTTGTCTTGTTCACAGAAGGGCGGGAGCAGTGACAGTGACGATGAGAGAGAGCTTCCCATACCACGCTCTCCCCAGACACGGCTACGGCAGCTCACCAAGAGAAGTCATTCCGTGAGTATTTTTTTTAGCTTCCTTCCCCAAATTTATTTTTTTATTTCGAAAGTGTACGTGTAAGCATGTATATGGATGAGTTCAGAACTCTTCTCGTCTTAAATTATGTAATTTATAATCCTGTTCTATCTTAGGAAGCCTTAAGAAGTGATGACCTGTGCTTACTAGCGTTCTTTTATATCACATTGTAATGTTTGTGTTCTTGGAAGGAATTCATGCAAAAAGAGTAGTTTACCGCAAAGGCAACTAGAAAGATAATATAGGTTCAGAAATATGGGTCTGTGTTGTCCATTGTTTAAAGCTTGGCCCGTTGGTGCGTGGTAAAGGCCCCTTTTAGCCGCAGTCATGGCAGGAACCGAAAATTTATCGCACACGGCGCCACGTACAAACTTGCCGTCCGCAATTATCTCGCTTTCTCGTGGGTTTCATGAAGCGGTAACTTCCTTACGTAGTTAATTCTGATGGTTTGAGATTATAGGGTGGCGACGCTGACACGGGATGGATTTATGGCAAAGGGAAAACACAGAAGAGTATTATTTCATAATTTTTTGATGCGATTAAGAAATGGTATGGTAAAACTTGGGCATTTAAAGAAATACAATGTAGCTTTCCAGTTTAAAACGCACCGAGCTTTGTTGAGAAAATATCAATCAAAGGTTTCTGTAATTGATTTTGCCGAAACTTTATTTATTTTATGCCAAAAGAGATATTAATCCAGAGGCGAAAATTACATAAGCTAGGATAGCTAAACACTAATGTTATTCATAGACACCGGTGTCCGAAAGATGTCAGAGCCTCTATGAAGTTGGGATATTTTTGTTCCCAGGACCCAGAGGTGATACCCCTGTCCCCGCCCCCGTCACTCTACACGGAGGAGGAGGAAGAGGAGGTACTCCGTCCCAGGAAGGAGCACGTGGTGGAGCAGGAGCCGGTCCTACCATCCACGCCAGAATCGGGCTCCTCCAACTCGTCAGCCAACCCCTTCCGAAGCATCAGCGAGAAGGCGAGTCTCGGCAGCAAGGACGACGCCGGTACAGGGACGTCGGTCGCAGCGGAGGTAAGGCTCTTTGAACACTTTGCAGATGAATAAAAGGGAATAAGATAATAATTATGTAGAGGAGCGAAAGGTAATAAAAGAGAATTGGATTATGATAATTTAAAGAAGTGAGAGATAAAGAATAGAGAATAAGATGATGATACTGTGATGAAGCGAGAGATGAATGAAAGAGAATGAGATTGTTAATGTAGAAAAACGAAAGATAAGTAAAAATATGATATTGTAAAGAAGCGAGAGATAAGTAAAAAAGAATGAAATCATGAAAATGTAAAGAAGCGATAGATAATGAAAAGATTAGATAATGATTAGTTAAAGAAGTGAGATAGAAAAAGATGAGATTATGATTATGGAAAGAAGCGAAATATAAAAAGTAAAGAACAATTATGATGTATAATAGAATGACTTCAAGTTATCTCGGTCTCGTGTTGAGGGTTTGGTGGGTCAAGTTAAGATGCTTAGTCGAGGTGGGAATGTCTTTTCATAGCTGTGCAAGACATATTGATGATTTATAATGCAAGTTAGAACTACACTGTTGCAGGTTTATAGCAGACACACATTTATCTCCACGTGTACATGTAAATATATACACTAATACTGCACTGCGCTACACTATATGACTGCGCTACACTGCATACTATACTTAACTACACTTTGCTACGCTGCGCTACACTTCAGTGCAGGACATTGTACTACTTTGCTGTTCATCTCATTTCATTTCAGTTCACTTTATTACGCAATACTGTACTACACTACACTATATTATACTATACTGCATTATACTTCAATATATATGTGTATGTGTGTCAAAAACACATACACACACGCATTCACACACGAACACACACACACACGCATATGCCAACACGCATATGCCAACACGCATATACACACACGAATACACACACACGGATACACACACACACGAATACACTCACACGAATACACACACACGAATACACACACACATACACACATACGCACATAAACATAAATGCAAAAGCACATACATGTTCTGTGTGTATTTATACATATGCACCCACATACATATAATGTGCATCATATATAGATAAATAAGAGATGGACAGATAAATAGATACATGATTTATATTTGATTATGTATCACTCCATGTATGGATTTCCCTTTTTTTTGTCTTTCGTCATATTGCAGTGTATTTAAGTTTATTGTTAATAATTCCATGTATTGAGATATTTACTTTTTGAAGACAAATATGTTTTGTTTGGTCGACTTGGGCGATAGATAATGGATATTTGATTAGTCACCACTTTTATATCCGGATATGGACTCTCATTGTTGAGTTTTTATTAATATATTTTTTGGACATTGAGATGTATTTAAGATTAAAAATGTTGATGTCGGTTAATTTCAACAAATAAACCTCTACCGTTTGGTATACTTTTGAACACACAACCCAGACTGTAAATATTTCGATGCAGTGAAGTGTTTGTCTTTGGTTTTCAAGATTTACTGATTTATTTTGCTTGGTCGCCCAGGACGAAGTCGACTCCCAGCAGGAAGAAGGGCAGTGCACGGGCGGAGTGTTCCCCTCGCTCCCCGACAACTACCTTCGCTCCATAGGCCTAGCAAGGGACGACCATTCGCCGTAAGTACATTTTTTTCGAGGTGGTGTTGCTAGGTATTTGATTGGATATTGAGAATTGGAAAAGGTTTGTTTGCAGTTGTTTGAATCTGTGCGGTGTTTAGAAGGAAAGAAGTGGGAAGGGGAAAGCGAAGAAGGTAAGTTTAATGCCACACGATAAATACTAGGAATTTGCGAGCCACTTCCTGTGAGGGTTTTTTGATGGGACCTTTTCCTAATTTGGGCTTTTTTAAATGCGTGGTGCCTCGGTAACGGTGTTTTTAATGTCCTTCAGCATGCTGTAAAAGTGCATCCCAAGAACCCTCTTTTGCGTGCATTGATGCAGTGATCCCGACGTGACCCGGTCATTAAAGTGGCTATAACGTCGGACTATAGTCTTAAAGCTGGTTCCGAGGACGTGCCCCTCATGCCGACGACATGATCCTGCATGACAAGCAAGACCGGGGATTACTCCCCCAAGGCGAATTCGCTGCTGTCGCCAGATTCTCGACAGCTGATTAGTGTGATGGCCATGCGTCTGTCATTGCGCGGTTTTGCAAAAGTGTAATGGACCTTTTTTGCACGTCAATGCAAAAAGTAGCATTTGTATTTAAGTGTTGATGCGAGTTTTGGTGCAGTTGAAGTAGTTAAAGCAGTAACGAACCGAACTATTAAATAGCGAGTATTTTTGAGGAGCGTGAACATTTTTTTTTCCGCATATCACATAGACATCCTGTGTTCCCAGTACAGTTGATAAGGAGCCGCCGACATATTTGCATGCGTAAAACATCAGTGCCCTTGTGTTGTTGGTGATCCCGGCTGCAGCTTGATGTGATCTTGGCGGCGGCTGCCAATTCACTCTTAAAGGCTATTGATAAGCCCCCCCCCAAAAAAATTAAATAGATTAAAGTTATGGACTTGGGAGATGACCAACGAAATGGAGATGTGAACGCGCAGATAGCAAGGCCGACTTGCTACCATCTTTTTTATTTATTTCATCTGCTTTGGCTACGTGAGAAAGTAAATAAATAATAATAAAATTATTATTATTATTATTATTATTATTATTATTACTATTATTATTACTATTATTATTACTATTATTATTACTATTATTATTACTATTACTATTATTATTACTATTATTATTATTATTATTATTATTATTATTATTATTATTATTATTATATTATTATTATTATTATTATTATATTACTATTACTATTATATTATTATTATATTATTACCATTATTATTATTATTATTATTATTATTTATTATATTATATTATATTATTATTATTATTATTATTATTATTATTATTATTATTATTATTATTATTTATTATTATTATTATTATTTATTATTATTATTATTATATTATTTATTACTATTACTATTATTACTATTACTATTACTATTACTATTACTACTATTATTACTATTACTATTCATTATTATAAATTTTACTTTATCATTATTAGATTTTTCAATGTGAAATTTCCGCCTTTCTCTGGATCTTCCTCTTTCTTGTGGCCTTGTGCTTTACTGAAAAAACTACTAATTAAACCGTCAATTCTTGTGTGACGTAACGAGTAATACGATCACAGGAAGAGGTGCTGGCTGTGGTGGTATTAAAACTGGCGAACTGACTCCCTCTCTATCCAAAATGACTGACGATATCTGAGGCCCGTTCTCGTGTAATGAGACGTCGGGGAGGCCCAATCGGCGTCATTGGACCTCGCAGGAGGGTATTACCACACGCGGACTGCAAGAAACAAGAGCACGTTGTAATGCAAACG